ATCCATCTTATGCACAATCATTTCCAGCTTTCCTGTTGAATACAGATGTGGGGAGCATGCCACTTGTGTAAATCCTGTTGAATTAAATAGTACCAAGCCTTGGTATTCTTTTTTTTCAGTCTGATACTGTGACTTGACAGAAAACATGCTAGAATCTGTAAGACTTAATTATATATTATTAACACTACTAATTCACATTGTATCTAAATAAGCTATGTTTGACTTTCAGAACTTTGATCAGTTAATCTACCTGCCTCAAAGAGTTGAGAGGATGATCAAATAAAAGTGAAGGCTGTTTTGAAAATTTATATAACTCCAAGATTATTGAGTTGTTATTATTATTAATGGTGTCTTGAGACTCTCACCTAGTTGCCAAGTGGAATGACTCTTACTGGAATTTTGTGACTTGTTTTATAGCTGCTTATCATGTAAGGTTTGAGTGTTTTAGTTAATAAAAATAGTTTTCTTTCCCTAAAGTTTAATAATCTGGTTTGTCATGGGAATGAGAACTTTCAGGCTTATGGTCTAATTCATTTGGTTGAAATTCATCCTTTGCAACTAGATTTTGTGCTAAACAGGATTTTGTTTTTTGCAATCTAAATTGTGGACCCAGGAAGTGTCATTAGCTTCTTTGAAAAAAAAATCTGCATCAGCACTTCAGCTATGTTTTGTTCTGCTAAATTACCTTGACTTTTTAATTGAAAGGCAGTTTATTATAATTTTAGTATCAGCATTACAGAAAGTCATGGAAATATTTAAGGATCGTATGGTTTGAACTCTTTCTGACGAGCAGGAAATTATCTTGTCTGCCTGGCTTTCAACAGATGACATTCACCCACTGGATATATCAGACATTAAACTGAAAATTCAAATAGAAGTCAAATTCAGACTTGTAACAATCAGCTTCTACTTTATGCATGTCCCAGAACACTGGGGAATATATTAAATCAGTCCTGACACTGCTGTCTTTCACTCATTCTAATCTTGAATATCTTTATTTAACCCTTTCCTGTGGTAAATTATTTTGATTTTTTTAGTTTCTGCAATGATTTCAAATGATTTCAGCATATCCATGCAATGTTTTTAAAAACTCTCTTGGTTATCACTTTTATCTTAATAAAAGAAGCAAATACCAAGTTTGAGGCAGCTAAATGCAGCAGTACTGGGGATCAAACTCAGGGCCTTGCACATGCTAGGGAAGTGCTCTACCACAGAGTTAACATTCCCAGCTTGAGGTTTTTTCCCAGCCTGATTTTTTTATTACTGGCCTCAAAATAGTTATATCACCCATTTATCATACATATAATTTATCCCACCTATAATAGCCTCTTTTTACTACATTGTTATGGTTTGGATGTGAGGTGTCCCTCCCAAACTCACAAGCAAGACAATTCAGGAAGGTTCAGAGGAGAAAGGATTGGGTTGTAAGAGTCTTAACCCAATCAGTGAATTAATCCTTGATGGGAATAATTGAAGTAGTAGGGTGTGGCTGGAGGAGGTGGGAATTGGGCATGGCTACGGGGTATGTACCTATATTGGTATTTACCCATTTTGTATCTGGAGAATGGTATCTCTCTCTCTGCTTCTTGATCACCATGATGTGAGTTGCTTCCCTCTGCCACTCATTCTGCCATGATGTTCAGCCTCATCTTGAGCCCAAAGAAATGGAACCAGCCTTCTATGGACTAAGACCTCTGAAACCATGAGCCCTCAAATAAAACGTTCTCCCTCTTCAATTGTTCTGATCAAGTCCTTTAGTCTCAGCAGCAAAAAAGCTGACTAAAACCTACACATTATAGGAATTTTAATAAGTAAAGTAAAAATATTTATCTTAAGGATTTTGTTGGGATATTTGCTCCTAGGTGGACATGAAGTTTTTAGGATCCAGTGAAAATCATCTGAGTTAAGGAAGTAACAAACACTTGAAGTGGAGTTGTATCAGATGTCAGTGTATTAGTTTGCAATGAAATGTCTCTATTTTGTTAAATGGATAAAATCTTCATATAGTAAAAATGTCTAATAGTAGAAAGATAGTATAAGTAAAAAGTTTCTCTTCTGTGGCCCCCAGCTTCCCATCTAGCCACAATTCTGATGGCCAATCTCTTCTGCCTTTTCACAGAGAATACTGAACCTTTACAAATAGATAAAGGATGCACATCATTCTTTTTATTTAAAACATATTTTTCAGTTCCTTTTTAAATTTCACTTATGTATCTTAGATACCCTTAATATTGGTATTTTACAGTGCTACTTTATTTTTTCCATTTTAATTTTTTGGTATAKGGTTACTTAACCACTGAACCACATCCCCAGCTTGTTACTAATTTTTAATGGTTGCTCAGTGTACCTTTGAATGTTTCATGAATGTTTAACCAACCAACTCAACTCCCTGCTGATAGATATTTAGCTTGTTTTTAATCTGTTCATACTACAAACAATATTTAATAGTGTTTTTGTGTACCTATGCCTCCATAGCTGTACAATAAATTCCTAGAAGTAGAATTGCTGACTCAAAGAGTAAGCATATTTATTTTGTTTTGATAGTCATTTCCAAATTGCTCACCAAAAGATGAACTATTTATAGCTTAATCAACAAAGTTTAAACATTATAGAAATTTTTATCTTTCCAAGGACAGTTATTTATGCCCCTCTTCCAAATCACTCCCAGAATTTAAATACCTAGAAAACCAAAATTCAGAGATTCTTAATGAGCATGAAATGAGGGCCAAGGGAGCTGCATGGTCTTGAGGGGTTCCAGGCAAGGCCTCAGCTTCACCAGCCTCTACCTTCTCGCACATCCCAGGTCTCATTTTTTTTTTGTATCAAGCTTGACAGCAGCAAAATCAAATCTCTTTTTTCAAATCCCTATACCAATAATCCCCTTTCACTATGCTGTACCATTATATTTTCATTCTTTCTTTTACCATATATAATTCTATTATATATAGGTTGTGATTTTTTAAATTATTACATTTTAATTTGCCTGATTACAATTACATGTAGAGTACAGTTCCTTCAGAAATAATAACACAAAATAGCATAGAATGGATTATCAAAACAGCTAATTCCATCAGTGCTTCATGAATCTATACTCAGAAATAGCACTTACTGGTTCCTAAAAGCTTGATTTTTCTTGTCATCTATTTCAATATTTTGCTTGTTTTAAACTCCTAGGCTCAACTCTATTTGGTCAGTAGTCCTCTCTGGCCTGATTACCACTGACTGATCAATATATTATTGTAAAGTGTTTTGGCAGCAGCACTCTATAAAAGCCACCAGTGATATTTCATCCCTAGATTTCCAAATGTACACTAATGAGTCGCGTGTTAGTAGAGTACATTGACTTGTGTGATCCATGTCTAGCAAATATATAGTGATCACAAGATGGTAGGTTGTGCTTTGTTTTTAAGAGTGTCTTCAAAATTATGTCATGTTTTAAATGGTATTTATATAACTATCCAGTGCTTCCCATGTAATTCTGTGAATAATTTGGTCACTGTATTACCCAGCAGTATGTTCTTTTTTCATTAAATCATTCTTTTATTTTCTATTTTCATGACTACTATTTCAAGGAATAAAAGGAAGTCAAAGTAATTACCATTTATTTACATTATTAGAATGTACTAAATATTTCATAGTCTTGGAAATAAAGACACACGTGTAATTGGAGAGGGATGCAGCAGCTAGGTTAGAGGAATTCTGTTAGAAATCAATGGGTACTGTTTTTTTTACCCCTTTGACAATGTCATGGACTGACTATTAATGATTATAATCAGTAATGGTAAGTTCTGGGGATTTGATGTGCTCCATTAACCTAGTACATAACAGATTTAATGGCACTCCCTTACCTCTTGCAGTCCCTATAAAAGCACATTTTTCTAACTGGGTGCCATGACAAATGCCTGTGATCCTCAGGGAGGTTGAGGCAGGAGGATCGAAAGGTTAAAGCAAGCCTCGGCAACTTAGCAAGGCCATAAGCAACTTAGCGAGAGACCCAGTCTCACAAAACTAAAAACTGGCAGGAGATTGGCTCAGTTAAAGTGCCTCTGGGCTAACGTATCCCCAGTACCCCAAAGAGAGAGAGGAGAAGGTAGTGGAGAGGGGGATCTTTTTCTTAACAAATACTTTTCTTAAAAATATTTTTCTTATAACCTTAAGCTTAGAATAAATTCTACTCTTTTTGAATCAGCTAGTATGATATCTTTGTTAGGATATAGGTGTCAGTTTTAGTTTTCTAAATAGAATCAGTTTCCCTCATTGAGACTGGTTTCACCTTCAAATTAGTGAAAGTTTGTAGATAGTCATTAGCAAGGAAGAAATTTTTTAGAATGAGCTGCTCCTCTCTAAATATTAAGAATAACATACTTTATCAAAAGATTTCATTGCAGAATTGTGTTAATGGACTTGGGGAGCTGATCTGGAATCTTGATTGCTGTACATTTATGTTTTTCTAGATGAAAGAGTTCCTTATTTAAAAAGAAATCATGGAAACAAAACTCTTTCCAAAATTGAGAACTAATCCTATTGTAAGCATTTCTCTAGGAATTGCATACTGAATGATGTTTATTTTGTATTTGAAAGCTATTATGAACCAGTCTCTTTAAATGCATAATTTTCAGTTACATTTAATGTTTCTTACAGTTACTCTTAGATATTAAGCTATCTTTAAAATTATAAAATGAGTAGATTTAGTATGGCAGAGGAGARTTCTTTTAATTATTTTACAATGACATATTGTTTTTGTGCTGTGGAATAAGCCACCAGAAAGGTAAAGCAAATAAACTGGTAATAATTCAGCAACAAAACATTCCCAAACTTATTCCAGAAAATCTGAGGCAAGAGCTGATAGATGTAAGATACTTTGTCCAGCATTATCAACTACCACTGAAGAGAGATGGGATTCCAGAGTTGGTACTTAGGAAAGAGAACACTCAGAAGATCTGTCTGCTCTGACTCATTGCTGCTGCTACGGAACTCAAATGTTTGTGTTTTTATTTCAGTGACATTGTATGCCTCCTGTATTCTCCTGGGAGTGTTCTTGAATAGCAGTGTACCTATATTTTTTGAGCTTTTTGTGGAAACTGTCTACCCAGTTCCAGAAGGAATTACTTGTGGAGTCGTCACTTTTTTAAGTAATATGTTCATGGGAGTACTTTTATTTTTTCTCACATTTTATCATACAGGTAAGAAATTTGATTTTTATTTGCTATCGCGATGTGTTATTGTAGAGGTTCATGGCATTAATATAGGAACTTTATATGGAGAATGCTCACTAAAACAAATTATGTAAGTATTCACATGCCAATAAAAACAAAATCCACAATTATGTTTCTTGAAATGTGTTGTAGCCTACATGCACCCTTATCCTCACCCCCAGAGTTTCTGAATTAACCTGATGAACACTGAGCATTTGTATTTTTAAAAATCTCTTCCCAACTTACCCCCTGGACAGATAGATAACTCTAATATTCAGCTTCTTATTGAGGACTAGTGGTGAGTATAAATTAATGTCAAGAGGGTGTATGTAGTTTAAAGCCATAAGGATGAATAAGAGGTTGCACAATATAAGAAGTGCTTTAAAATATGACACTCCAAGAGGCCACGTTGTTTATAAAGAACTTTGTGACAGGCTTATAATTAAAATAGTAACTATGTTAACCTCCTTGACTAGACAATAAATTTTTAAAACTTTCAAAGCAATGAAACAGATCTTCCTGGGTTTTGGAAAACTTCAGGGATAGCACTCTCTCCTAAATGCAAAAAACATCCAAATGATAGAATCATAATATAATTAACAACAAACTAGATTGTCCCTGTAAGTCAGTAGTGCAGATAAAGTAGGTCTTAACTCTGCTAAACCTGATGCAGGTTAGGTGTCCAGTGAAGGAGAGTGATAATACAGACAGAATCCATTCTTTTTATTGTCCTGGAAATATGTCTCCAGTAAGGAAAAATGGCATCATCAGGTATTGGATGATCTTTGCTTCCAATTCACTTTCTAAACAGACTCTTATGACAATTATTACATATAAGTTTTAATCTAGTTCACTTGTGTCACCCTGGAAATTAAGAGGTTTATTGCTTCTCTTTGCCTGGCAAAACATCAGAGATGGTTATGAAGTCCCCTTGCACAATAGAAACAGTTTTCTAGCTGATGGGCACAGGTTTGCTAAATGGCCTAGTAGACATGGTTTTCCCAATCAGCTAGAAATAGAGAATTGTCCTTACAGTATTTACAAACAACAGTAGATGTCAGACAATGATATTCCCTGGTAAATCTTGCTTGTTATCTCCAGTGTACAAAAAACACATATTCATTGATCTAAGGCAGGGAAAACACCAATATAATGACAACTATTCTAAAATATTTATATTAGTTTTCTGTTGCTATAACAAAATACCTGAGACTGGGTACTTTAGAAATAAAAGAAGTTTATTTAACTCACACTTTTGGAGACTGCATCAGATCAACTCTAGTGAAGACTGCATGGCATGTGATATCACAGTGGCAGGGAGCATATGTAAGAGGGTGAAATCATATGGCAATATAGCCAGCTAGRGAGAGGAAGGGCAGTAATAACCTCCCACTGGGACCCACTTCTTAAAGGACCCACCTTAATATCACCACATGGGACCAAGATTCCTATTCATGAATCTTTAGAGGACACACTCAAATCATAGCACTGTCTGACTGCAGAAAAACTCCGTGCATCCCTGAGCATTTCACTAAGTCAGTAGAGTATCTGTCACTCTCCTAGGTCCAGCTATAGCTTTTGATTTGTACAACAGAGACTGATATCTGGCACAACTTAACTGTAACTATTATTAGTTATTGTCCACTCCTCATTTTGCAAATTCACAATGGCCAGATGCTACAGGCAAATATTTTTGTTTCTTTGCTAGGTAACTGAAGAAACACCATTTTAACTAATTCTTATCTTACAAATACAATCAGGGATTTATCTGACTGGGATTAAAAAAAAAAGTCTTCCCTCCTTTTAGGTGCTTTCTGATCACGTGGTCTTGTACATACCTGAACAGGCATTAAAAGATTTCTGCCTAAACTCTGATTATTGTGACCACATGAAATTTGAAATTGTAATTTTAATACACCAATATAATTTCTGGGACACAGGGGTGTCTCAGTAAACTTTGGTATTTTTGATAGTTGATGAGATGATTTGTATGAAAGAGCCTATATGTCCAAGGAATAGCTGGCACTCACCAAGTGTTTGTTTTGTTTCCTTCTAGATGATTAGTTGGTTGATGTTAGGAATTTAAATATCTAGGCTTCTGTTTTAAAGACGTGCTCTTGTGTATATATTTGTAGGTCTGTATAAGAATATACACAAAGAGGGACTGGGGTTGTGGTCAGTGGTAGAGAACTCACTTAGCGTGGATGAAGCACTGGGTTCAATCCTCAGCACCACATAAAGATAAATAAATAAAGGTATTATGTCCATGTACAAATAAAAAATTTTTTAGAAGAATACACACAAAGATATCAACATTTCTAAGGCAAAGTTGTTGGAACCATGAAATCACTCTTGAAATTCTTTTCACATATGATTAATTGATCCTGTCCTAAAATTCCTGCAGCACAGGCCCCCATTCTTTATGGAATGAGATATAGTAATATACAAATAGCAAATCTGAAAATTCTGTAAAACTGTTTCCTTAAAATAAATTCTAGTTCTGCAACCTAGTACACTAAACATTTTCATATGATAAACTGAATTTCTTTCCAATTGAGACAGTATTCATATGTCATAATTCAGCAATTTTAAAACTTGAGCAACTCACCCAGTAGTTATAATTAAAAATTCAAGTATTAGTTACATGATTACAAGGCCTGGTTGTTTTGTTTTTGTTTTTTGTTTTTTTTTTTCTTTCTTTCTTTTCTTTTAAGAAGGTCTTGGGGTTTTGTTTTTTTCTTATAGTTTTAAGAGACAGGGTCTCACTATGTTGCCCAGACTATACTCAATCTCCTAGGCCCAAGCAATCCTCCTACCTCAGCATCCTGAGTACTGTGGGACTACAGGTGCACAACACCATGCCTGGGAAGAAGTCCTGATTTTTTTATTCATAAAAATCTGTAGTGCTTTTGGTCACTTCTCAAGGTACTACTAAGCTTCCTGACTAGGATTTTTTCCCCACCCATGGAGTGCTGTCTGGGGTGACTGTATCAGATAATTTTTCAGGACTATGCAGCTATCCCCAAAATGATCCATTTGAATGCCTCACTTAGCAAGGTAGTTTCCACTGGCGACTTGTTGCAGATTAGGGTCATTGCTGTCATGGAGGGCAATTGTTACTCAGGCTTAGGCTCCTATACCAAAGTCACTGGTTTATTTGGAGCCCCAAGTCCCAGTATCTGCACATTCTATTTCAGTTCTCCTTTTGGTATCTGAATCCATGTCAGAAGTTTCCTAGAGTTTTTCTGACTTGGATTTTTGAAGGTCACTTTCAAAAAAAAAAAGTTACTTCATCTTCATCCCTAATATCAACATATTTTTAAAACTGAGTTGCTTCCTACAATGTTTGCTTTGAGAATCTCAGTGAGTTGAGACAGCACAGTGATGCTTTTTTCTAATAACTTCATATACAAAATCAATTTGCAAATGCTGTTATGTCCTTTATGTGCTCTGAAATGTATTCTATTTTATAATCTGTGGTTTGTGTTATCTGGTATTTTTTTATAAGCTTTGCATCAATTTCTGTCTAAAAATATAAAGATTTTGAAGTGGCTTACTTTGATTTTGAGGTTGCACCATTACCTAAAAGACTTAGGGGCCTGGCTGAGGTGGGAGACATTGTCTAATGGTTACCAGGAGAACAAAGGTCAGGTTCAACAGATGTGGTGTAGTTCGAAGTAATTTTATGTCCAAGAAGTACAGTGGTGCAGTGTGGAGGTGGTAAGAACAAGTGAGTAATTAATTGGCACCAAGAAAGCAGGCTTTTAAGCTGGAATGTAGAGGTCAGCCGACTGCTCACCCTGGGTTTAAATGGAGATATTTTTGTTAAGTCACCATGAAAGAAAAGGAGGGTGGTAACTGGAAACCAAGCACTTGCAGGTGGTCTAAGTGGAAAGTGTGACCTCACTGAGGGAAGACAAGGTGAAGAGTGTGACAGTGCTTCTAGAAGGAAGAGGTAAGAAGATGAGCAAAATCTTAATGAGTTCCGTCCCTACCAAGCACCACCACTAGCAGAGTCCACCGTCGCACTGAGGGACAGGTGGTGCCTAACTGCAGATTGACCAAGAGGGGACCAACTGTGGTATGGTGGATGACAGGGAACCAACAAAGGCTGGGATGAGTTGTATGTTCCTGCCTTTGAGTGTGGATTTGGCTTTCCTCCAGGGAGCAGCAGAGGGAGGGAATGCTAGTGAGCTGCTCCCAGACAAAAGGGGGGATAGGAGCACTTCAGTGGAGCAGGAGTCTGTTGATTCAATTATGTCCTGTGACATTGAGCTCAGAAAGGACAGTGATTGACTCTGCAAATGTTAAGCCAAATTAAATTTTTAAGCAAGCCATTTCCTGCTTATTAGAACACGTAAACTGTGGTTTCTGTAAATGGTTTTCAGTGGGAAAATGTAGCTGTTTCCCTGTCTCTGACCTTCTGCTTTCTGAAAAGGCAAGTAATTTCAAAGAACACTTGCAGTTGTTTGAGACAAGTGATTTACTGAAAGGTGGATTTGCCTTTCAGAGAGGAGCACACAGTAGAAACCAATCAACAAACTGTGATATTAAAGAGCAATTATGAGGCATTTTAGAGATTTCATCTGACCCAGGTAGAAGGGGTAATTTTACAACTCTGATGAAATAAACGGACTGCTTTGGCAGTTTGACAAATTCCTCAATGGAAGAAGAGCAACGACAAGTTGATGGTTGCCACCTTTGTGTTGCTTTGGCTTCCATAAATTATGATCACTAAGATTTAGCGATCATAGACCACGGTGTTAGTATCATACTTTCTTTGAATTTTTGCTTAAAATGCAGCCTTGAAATAAGTGTCCTTTCTTACTATGAATACAGACAATATGCTTTTGTCTATATTTTCCTGCTTTCTTTTCATTTTTTTACTACATCATCAAAAATCCAAGTTATATGGTTAATATAAAAGCAAACAAAGGTCTAGTGTGTCATTTCAAGGAATATCAGAATAAAGACAAGATCCCAGAGGTCACAGCTTTTCAGAGTATTTAGGTTATATGCAATCCAAGTAAAGCACAGGAAACAGCTTTGTATAAAAATGCCATTAAAATATACATCTTGTTTCACACTATAGAATAACATGCCCAACTTTTTTTTCTTTTCTTAATGTAGTAACTGAGAGATGAGATGGATGCTTTTGCTGGGGGTGGGGGGGGRACTATTGCTACCCTTTATTGGTTGGTTTTCTGATTTCCATTCCTGAGCATAAATTGCTCTTTTAGGCCATATGAATTATGGATTAAACTAAAGCAGCAGTGTGGAAATCTTTAGGATGATTTTGAAGATTAAGAGTGTTAGCATTCGGTAGAAGTACAAAGCAAAAGATAAACCTATGCAAGTGACCAAAAAAAAAAAAAAAAGAAAGAAAAGAAAAAGAAATGTTTCTCCTATTCATTTTCATTGGATATGATAAATGGATATTAATCTAGAGAAGTGTCCCCAACAATAATCTCTTTACCACCAAGGAGCTGCTCACTTCAAAGCCTTGTGACTGATGGGCATGTGGTGTTGGGATAGCAGAAGCTGAACAAATGCTGATACTCAAGGGTCCCTGGAGCTCTTGGAAGCAGCCAGGGGCAGCCATAGTTGGGTGGAATGTGTTAGGCAAGGGGGCCCCAAATTGTTCTGTTAGTCCTGAATTCCTAAGAGCATTTTTGAGGAAGCAGATCCTTGATACCATTAAGTCGGGTAATGGTAGAATTGCCTGTTTAAATTACTTCTGTAGGTTGTAGGTTTTCCAATAATTGACATCATACATAATAACCATTCATGCTAGTAGAAGAGACAACTAGAAAGAAATAAACCAAAATGCTCACAGTGGTCTCTCTAGGGAGAGAACTATGATTGATCTTTTCTTTTATGAGTTTTTATGTTTCCATATATTTCCTAATCTATTTTTCAGTGATTAATACTTAATATTTCTGCAGAGAAATACATATAGGAATACATAAAAATGAACAGGGGAAACATATTTCTTTTTCTTTCTGGTTACTTGCAAAGGTTCATATACATGTGTATTTCTATACATATTTCTATATGCATTTCTCTGCAGAAACCCCCAAAATATAAAAGTGTTATCTTGAAATTCAGGTGATTTTCGTGTTTGTCTTTTTAATTCAGACATTTCTAAACAAGGACAAGAGTGATGGTGATAGGGGGTACTTAAAAAACAATTAACAGGTCTGGGGTTGTGGCTCAGTGGTAGAGCACTCGCCTCGCATGTGTGAGGCACTGGGTTCAATTCTCAGCACCACATGTAAATAAATAAAATAAAGTTCTTTAACAACTAAAACTATTTTAAAAATTAACAAACTAACACTTAAAGGCAATCATTTTTTTCTTTGGAGTGGATTGATTTACAACCCAAGTCAAGGTGGACAAATTGATGAAAAGTTATTACTAATATTGATTTAAAATATTCCCCATGAAAGCCCTATATTACACACATCAGAGTCTCCAGATCATCACTGTTTATTGAAAGCCAGTTTCCAAGCCTTTCAGGGTACATTTATTATAAGTGCTTTTGAATGCATAGCAGATTCCTCTCACCATATAGGTGGTGATCTGCTAGTGCTACATGAATACTTAAAACTGCACATTTTTGTCTTACAGAGTTGTCTTGGTTCAACTGGTGCCTTCCCGGGTCGTGTTTGCTCAGTCTCCTCCTCATTCTGTGCTTCAGGGAATCCTATGACAGACTTTATCTTGATGTGGTTGTCTCAGTTTAATAGCACAGACTCGAGGGAGTTTGAATGGAGACTGGAAATCAATACTGCACACTGCAGATTTGCTTGGAATTGCACATCTAACAGGAAAAAAGGAGAAGAAAGAAACTTCATTCAGAGGTTTTGTTAGGTTACAGATTATTGCATTAATTTAACTACTACTAGGTAATAATAATGTGGGACTTGAGTGGTAATAGGGGATTTTAAAACTCTACAAGTGGCATACCTGTGCCCAATTCTGGGGTTGGAAGAGTGACGTCTTACTTATTCAGCACTACCTAAGGAATTCCCTCTGTGTTTTGTGCCAGTGCTAAACTACTGATAAACTGTAATTATGAAAAGAAAAGAAGGCATCTATCACATGAAGATAACGCCTCCTGAGGTCACATGACAGAATAGGAAGAAATGCCACTAACTTCTAAAGAAGTTTAAACCCTGTATCAGATTTTAATGACAAAATAGCCAACAGTATATCGATAATAGAAATTAGCCACGTGTACACTACATGTTTTTTCTAATAAAAGCCATTTCTTATATGACTCCTCATTTTTAATCAGGTCAGAAGCCTTTGGCCATCCGTGTCATGGGGATCAAGTGCTTTCCAGGGACTTCAGAGCACAAGCACTGTGTCTCCATCTCAACTCACCCTTGTTTCTCTGAATACAGTTTCATCTGCGAGGCCCTTAAATATCTACAGTAAGGGTGACTAACTGCTTGGTAGGGTTGCGATAACTATTGTATGAAGAGTGGGGTTCCGTTATGGCTGAGCACTTTGTTAAAAGCAAAATGACCAACCACACAGAGCATGTGTGTCTTCAACCTACATGTGGTGGCATAAGCAGTAAAGTTCAGCGCCAACTGTTATTTAACCAGGATTAGATTTTATTAAATGACCCTGAAAAGAACAGTTTCTAACATCAGAATTTTCCAATCTGTTGAGTGATTTCTGAATCACACCCTTGTGTTCCAGTTCAGGTTGTAAATATTCAATTCTGTATGAAGTCAGTATATTTGAGAGGGCAGCATTTTGCCAGTACCTATTTTTTTTCTATGAATGGTAGATTTTTTTTTAAATAGCAGTAACTCGTTGGACAGCTCTCAGACATGATTTCACTATGACATAAAATCCGCTGTGGTGGTAGCATGCTAACTCAAATGTTTAACATTTACATGATTCCCCTCACACAGAAAAAACAAACACTTCCCCCAAAGTCAAGAATAACACTACCTTTATTACTCTCTGCWTCCTCCAGCTCCCTTCTTTCACCTCACTTGAAATTGTCACCCCCATTTTCAGCTAAGTGTGTATTTTACTTGTCTTTCTGGACAGTGTAAGCCAGTCCCGTGTCAGCTAGGGTGGGGAAGCGTAGTTAAGGAAGCTGGCAGCCCTCACTCCTGCTTGTCAGGGCATGTGTGCATACCATCATGCTCCACAAGCACCTGAAATGCCTCGCCCTGCCCTCTTAGCAAGCTCAAGACTATGCATTAACTCACCTCAGGCCTGGAGGAAGATTCTAGGACTGCCTGGTGTCTTCCAAAAATCTGATTGTGAAAGTAGAAAAATAAGAAAACCCTCGAAATGAACATCCTTCATTCACCTTTGACTCATCTCCCTTTTTTAAAAAATTTTTTATAACCTTTATTTTATTTTTATGTGGTGCTGAGGATCAAACCTGGTGCCTCACCATGCTAGGCGAGCGCTCTACCCCTGAGCCACAACCCCAGTCCTGAATCATCTCCCTTTCTAACCACCTGCTCACTTAGCATCAAGAACTGAAGGAACTTGGGAAAGAGAAGAAATCCTGTGAAAGCTAGTCTTGGTTCCAATTGACTCTCTCGTCCTTCTTAAATAAAAATGAAATAAAGTGAAGTTAGAATTCTTGAAGATGATTGAAAGTCAGCATTAAGGATATTAGTAGTCCATGACCTGGATGCTAAATAATCACCACCCCTTTCCATTTAGAAAGCAGGAAAGAAGCATGGAGTATGGGGTTTAGTCACACCATTGTGTTTAAGGACTATGCTATATCAAATCCTRTTATAATGAGACTTCTGACAAAACATTTTAATTAACAGTTCATTCTACTTTTAGCAAAGTACAGAATAACACATACAAAATGATACATACCTCAGTAACTGATTAGCTGGAAGACATCCCAAGTGGGCAGTGATTAACAGTTCTTGCTTTGGACCAGGCACTGACTGTTCTTTGGCCTAGGTGCAGGGAGCCGAGTCTGCCGGTCCCCTCCAGGTCGGCTTACCCCTCCAGTTGATCATTGTTCTAATCACAAACTGCAGCTGTTTTAAATGATCAAAATTTCATCTGCCAGGCCTGATAGAAAGAAAACCAAAGGCTTGTGTGTAGGGAGAGGACCATATGTTATTTATCTGAACATTGCAAATCATAATTTTTTCGTTTTTATTCCTAGCCTGCATCAAAATAGACCAGCTATTATCTTTGTACTTTTTGAATACACATTGTAGAACCCAAATGAAGTCTTATAACTGGAAGAAATCTTAACCCTCCACTAATCCAAGCCCTCATTTTAGAATTTACAGAAATGATCCTAGAAAGGTAAAGTATCTTGCCAAAGTATTAGTTACAGTTATCCCCCAATATCCATGGAAGATTGGATCCAGGACAACCCCCCATACACAGATATCAAAATCCTCAGAGATCAAAATCCTTTGTATAAAATGTAKTAGTACTTGCAGATAACTGATTTAAATCCTCCCCTATACTTTAAATCATCTACCTATACAATGTAAACACCATGTAAATGGTTGTTACACTGTGTTGTTATTAAGGAATAATAACTTTATCTGTCTTTAGTACAGGTACAATTTTTTTTTCAAAAATGTTTTATCTTTGGTGGGTTAAATCCACAGATAGAGAAACTGTAGAGAGGAAGGACCCCATGTAATAGAAAGGTAGAACTAAGACCCACATTTTTATTCCCGAAATAGTTTCTCCTCCTTACCTCACAAATTGGAAGGTTAATTTAGACCATTTCATGGGTTCATGAATATTCTGTGTCCAAAATTGATGGGGCTTATGAGTGAATTGTCATTATCGAGTATGAAAAGTTCAGGAACTAAATCGAGGTGATCACTGATTTACAAGTGAGATTATAAGTAAAATTTATAAATAAATCTTTATCCTGTAGGTGCTCTAACATCTCTTAAGTCTTAACTTGCAGTGACATTGTATGAAAGATTCTGATGAATAATTCAGTCCTCATAAACCCAGCTAACATCATTATTAATTGGTAAGGACATGTTATAGTGTAAGTTCCCTGTGGCTTATCAATTAATACTTCACAGTTTATGGGAAGAAGCAGTTTTTAATATGATCCATGGTAGAGGTAAAGCAATAAGATAATTACACAAGTGCATTTCACTGGAAGATGGAGCTATTAAAACAACAAGAGGGAATCAAGTGCACATGTAATTTTGTATATTTAAACATATGGCCTCAGGGCCAGGTTTTATCATGGATCATATATTCATGTTTAATTATTGAGAATGTTTACAGCTTGTTTTTATGAAGCTTCTCTAATGAAGGATCCAAGCTAAGGGATTTTAAGTTGAAAAGATTAAATCCCCATCTACTTATCTTTTAATTAGTTTTTTTTAACTCTTATTTGTACTAAAATCCAGGCATTTGTCTTGCAATCTGCCTGAATACAAGCTTCATTTTAAACTCAAGATCAAATAAAAATGTATAGCAAATTTGTTTTCAATTTAGGTTAAGAATCACATTAATTTTGTCCCTGAAATAATAAGTATAGGAATTACTATGATCATACCATATCACCAGGCAAGTACAGAAGCTGTGATATGGGGAACTGCCCAACTCCTAGACCAACATTCTTTCCAATAGTAAGAGCACTTACCTCGAACACACAAGGCCCCTGGATAGATCTCCAATACTGCAAAAACAAAGACATAGAGAAAACAATATAATGTCACCTTAGAGAAACAGATCATTTGATCAGACTTATAAATACAGAAAAGAGTACAATTCCACAATAATTTGGAATTATTGAACAGAAGGGGATAAGACAAAGTTTATTTCTATTACCATCAAGCAGTTTTGCTAGTCCATAAGAAAAGATAAGCACTGGAGCTGGGGATGTGGCTCAATCGGTAGCGCGCTCGCCTGGCATGCACGGGGCGCTGGGTTCAATCCTCAGCACCACATAAAAATAAAAAAAAATAATAAAGGTTTTGTGTCCACCGAAAACTAAAAAATAAATATTAAAAAAATTCTCTCTCTCTCTCTCTTAAAAAAAAAAAAAAGATAAGCACTACTCAGGGGAAAGTGTGAGACCATCCTAGAAGAGTGGRAGTTCACTTGGGGTGCTACTTTAAGAGCAGGCCTGGGGCCCTGTGCTCAGCAGAGGCGAGTGTCTGCTCACCCACCTCTCAGCTGTCCCGACCTCCCGTTCTTGCTCAGAGTCCTCCTTGTTCCACTGGAGCCTCAGACTTAGGAGAGGCTCTAGGAATGAAAACCAGGCTGTGAGGAGACCCTCAGAGCGTTACCTCTGGCCGGGAGCTGGGAGTGAGGGAGGCTGGGAGCAGAGAGGACAATTACATGTTTCTCAGTCTCTCCAGTTTAAGCTCTTTCTTGATCAGAACTGAAACAACAGCAGCCTCTTCTCACCGTACTGTTTTCTGAGGCTCTGACTCCTTGTTGCCTGAGGTACCTCAGGTTCCAGAACTTGTGTGAATCTGAATTCAACATTGGCCCAGAATTCTGGCTTCCTTGCCCTGATGTTCTAGCACAGACCTTCACCCCCCAACCCTCCCCAGACTCCTGTGGAAAACAAGGCCACACATCTGGGCTTCTCTCTCCTGAACAGGACACTGGCATAAGCAAAACCTAAGTAAATCCAGGGAAAAGATTAAACAGTTCTCACAGCTAAGTCTTGTAAATTAGAATATTTCCCTGAAATGGGAATTGCAAAGGTCTTGGATAGTGTGTAGTTATTATTTATTGCATTTTTTAAAAGATGAGCTAATTGCTTTATGTGCCTTAGAACCTGGTAGACCTCAAACAATAGCCTTCCATCTCTGCCCTCTCTCTAAAAGAGCAGAAGTTATCTCAGCCCTAGCTGTTCTGTTCATTGAACAAGATTTAACTTAAAAAATTTAAAGCCTAGCTAAAAAATGAAAGAAAGCATGAAATTGATTTTTAGCAACTTTGATAAAATACTAAGACACATCAAACCATTTTAGCTCTAAATGTGTTGGACTTAGTGCACTGTAAGTCTCAGAACCCTGAAGGGGTTGCCAGAAAATCTACCCAAACATTGCAGCACTCTTAGGATGCCCTGCAAGCTCTCCTAATTTATAAAGGATATCTCACAGTCTTTAACAAATTGGCAAGGCTAACTTATAAATACTTCATGTTCACCCTAATGTTAGAAAATTATTTTAAATTATTATTTAATTTAGGCTTGTCTAATTTACATTAGCTTTCTTCTTATTTACTTACCAGGAATATGGAATGAAAGAAATGATCTAATCCAACCAGCATCT